AGCAGATCTGGTCACAGAGCAGCGCCCGCCCTGTTCTGCTGGGCTGAGGCCGAGCGGCGATGACCCTTGGCTGGTGCGCAGGCCGGGCCCGTGCCGGCGCGTCCCTGTGGGAGCAGCGCTGTCGCCCAATAAGCCTCATCCGTCATTTTCACATGGACGTGGCCTTCTTGGCCGTTCAGAGGCCTGGCTCCCCCAGATAGTGCGTTTCTATTTATTGCTTCTTGGGCGGCCCCCGCCCCCGCCCCCGCCCAGCTCTAAGCTGCTGGGATGGAAAAAGCACTTGACCTATGAATTCCGGGCCTTTCCAGCTCGCTTCCTCCCGGGGCTTGCCCATCCGTTCAGCAGCACTGTTTAAGCACCGGCTGCATGCACGCACCTCCAGGAGAGCTGGGCCCTGCCCTCCCAGAGCGCCGGGGCGGTGGGGCCACGGGAGGCAGGAGGTACCTGAGTGTCTGCAGGTCCAGGACGCAACCAGGCGCCCGGGGCCAGGGCGTCACAGAGGCTGACAAGTCAGCACACACCCGTCAGGATGAATTCCCAGCTGCGAGTGGACGACTGTCTGCTGACCCGAAGCCCTGACAAGGCCGGTCCACAATCGTCCCCCGTTCCCTGGCCTCCTCCCCGGCGGCTGGAGTGGGCCAGACAGGAGGAAGCGGCTGAGCTGAGCCCTTGGCCAAAGCGGCGAGTTTTCCAGGAAGCGCTTAGAGGTGTGTGTTGGCCCCACAGCGACGGGGCGCCTGCTCACCAGGCTGCTGGGCCTCCATGCCGTGGGCACAGCCGGCTCTGGTTCCACCTCGTTTCCCCGAAAGAACAAACACCCTGTGTGCCCGAGGGGGGTCTGGCTGGGCGAGGTCCTGTCTGGCCAACCGACAGGAAACCGAGGCCACGCACTGGCCGCCTCCTCCGTCGGAAATCGGTGTCATGACTCTGCTTCAGGTGTCACGGGTCCCAGCGGTGGGATGGGGCTCAGCGGACGAAGTGGATTCGTCCAAGTACAGTGGGGCCTTGACTTACGAGTTTAATTCGTTCCGAGACCAAGCTCGTTAAGGAGCTCGTTAACTCAAATTACTCTGTCAACTCAATGCAAAAAATCAGCCGAGAGACAGCTGGTATCTCAAAAAACTCGCGGGACACTCCTAAGTCAAGGCCCCACTGTATGTAAATTGCGTCAAAGCTGCAGAAGCAGACGGCGCAGGCCCCGCAGACCTGTCCCAGCGGGCGCGACACTCCGCCCGCCCCGGCCGGCCGCCTCAGAAGTGTCCTCTCCGTTGAGGAAGGCCCGTCCGTCAGATGTGACTCCTCCGGGAGGGGTTCAGCAGACTTTCCCTACAGCAAAGATCACAGCCGGGCAGCTGGCCCAGGGGCTCAGCGTGGACCTAGGAACCAGGAGGTCCCGGTCCCATTCCCGGCGGGGGCACACGCCTGGGTGGCAGCTCGATCCCCAGTGGAGGGCGTGCAGGAGGCGGCGGACCAGTGATTCTCTCTCATCATGGAGTCTCTATCTCTCTCTCCTCCTCCCTTCCTCTCTGAAATCAATAAAAATAAATTTTAAAAAGATTACACACACACACACACACACACAAAAAAAGATTACAGAGAATTTAATGCAGGTCAGAAAGCCTGCCAATTACAGGTTTAAAACCAAATTGTTACCTGTTTACGAACATCAATTTCTGTTCACACACACACACAGCTCCCCTGTCAGGATCGCCCAGCCATGCCTGGGCTCAGGCCGCCCACGCAGGCCCCAACATTCTGCCTATAAAGAGACAGTCAATTAACTGGACTCTGCCCGGCCTGAACTGGGAGGAGCCTGAACTGGGAGAAGCCTGAACTGGGAGGAGCCTGAACTGGGAGGAGCCGGGAGAGGCCCTGCCCCTTCCTCGCAGCTACAGGGAACTTTGCAAATGTGTGCACTCCCCACACCTGCCTCTCCCTCTCTGCCCTGCAACCACCAGGACCATGGAGGGAACGCTCCCTGCAAAGCCCGAGGACAGCTGTGGGGGAGGCGTCGGCTGGAGCCTTGCAGGGGCCTCCCAGCACAGGGGAAGCGATGCAGCCACATGCCACGGCCCGGCCACGCCTTTATCCCACGGGGTGGCTTTTCCTCCGCTCCCTTCTCCAGGAAAGAGCCCACACGCAGTAACAACAGGTTCCAGGAGTCCAAGGCCACGTCCGTTCCTGCCCGGGCCTTCGCATGACATCCATCAGTTCGTCCGACCAGAGCAGGAGGCGGTGTTCCATTCCCATTGCTCAGAGGGGAATACTGAGGCTCCGTGGGGGCAGGTTTGGGAGTCAGCTGGCCCAGCTCTGTGTTCACCTCCCAAACCCCACCCCTGACAACCTTCCCTCTGCTCCCTACAACCCTTCTCCCCCCGCCCTCCCCCCCCACTCTGCTCGGCCTCCTCCACTTTCCAAGGACTGGAGCCCGGCTGCCTTTTCCCTGAGGGTTATTTTTAATTTTGTTTGTTTGTGTTTATTGATTTCAGAGAGGAAGGGAGAGGGAGAGACAGAGCATCAATGGTGAAAGAATCGCGCATTGGTGGCCTCCTGCACGCCCCCCACTGAGCCGCAACCTGCAGATTATTTGTAAACAGCCATTCCCCCCACCCCCGCGAGGGGCTGTGTCCACGCTACTCCGGGGTGAAGCCAGGCCCCGGAGGATTCCTATCTGGGGCAGCCCTCCTGGGCGCGCTCAGCCTCCCACACCCCAGAGCCCTGAGGCCCAGCTGCCCCCAGGAGGTGTACCTTCCGCCCACAGATATCAGCCACCCAGATGGAGGGTGGGGGCGCGGGGTCCACGGAGGACTAGACTGGGTGCGTGATTCCAAGGTGGCCTGGGGGCCATGTCAACTGGAAGAAAGATACTTATTTTAAGGGGGAGAGAGAGAGAGAGAGAGAGAGAGAGAGAGAGAGAGAGAGAGAGAGAGAGAGAAACATCCATGATGAGGGAGAATCACGGACCGGCTGCCTACTGCACGCCCCACACTGGGGATGGAGCCCACAACCCGGGCCTGTGCCCTGACGGGGAATCAAACTGCGGCCTCCTGGTTCATAGATCGATGCTCAGCCCCTGAGCCACACCGGCCGGGCGGAAGAAAGGTACTTTTGATGGAATGCCCAAAGAACGGAAAATGCAGGGCTCGCCCCTCCCAGCGCCCGCGGGGAGGGCCTCGGGCTCACGGTGCCATGAGCTCCAGGAGTTTCCCGCTCCAGGCACCGCCCCCTGGGTTTCCTGCTGCCCGTCCCGTGGCCAGTGCCCCTCCGCGCCCTCAGGGTGAAGAGCACCCATCCCTCGGCTGCCCCTGAACACACAGGCTGTGGTATGTGACCGGAAGGGCTGGACTGTGCCTCTGACCGGGACAGTCCCTCCCCGCCCTCCAGGGACCCAGCACCCGTCTTCTGCTGGGCGGCTGCCTCTTCCGTGGTGAGGACGCAGCCTCAGGGAGATGGTGGCCCTCAGCCTCCACGCCCCCCCTCCGACGCCTTGGCCCGCGCCACCCGCACGGACACTTCGCCCCAGGCGGCCCCGGCGACGCTGAGCGACCAGAAGTCACGCTCAGCGGGCAGCCCAGCACCTCCCGTCTGTCCAGGGAGCGCGGACACCAGACAGGGGTGCGCCTGCCGTGTCCGCACCTTCTGCGGGGGCAGTGACCGCAGGCCGGCCCCGTCTCCCCTCCCCTGCCCCCCTCAGCGGGAGTGGGGGCTCCTCTCCTGTCGGGGTGCACAGCAGCCCGGTCCGTCCCCCCACCCCGGCCTCACTGACCCGCCCACAGCACCGTGGTCCTGCCCTCAGCGTCCGCACAGACACTCGGGGCCTGAACCATGTGGTGAGGAGGAGGGCTCTGGGGCGGCCGTGTCCCGGCATCTAGACCAGAGGTCACGGAGCGGGAGGGACAGGGACGCCAGGTGCGCCAGGCCCCCAGTGCATTGGCACCGATGAATAACTGTGATGGCCCGGCCGGCGTGGCTCAGTGGATAGAGCGTTGGTCCACAGACAGAAGGGTCCTGGGTTCGAGTCCGGTCAAAGGCACGTACCCCCGCTTACAGGCTCAGTTCCCGGCCCTGGTTGGGGCGTGTGCAGGAGGCACCCAATCGATGTGTCCCTCTCACATCGCTGTTTCCCTCTCTGTGTCTCTCCCTCTCCCTTCCACTCTCTCAAAATCAATGGGAAAGCACCCTCGGGCGAGGATTAACAAATACCCGTATCATTCTGTGCTGAGTGATGGTGTTTGTGGTCTGTGGAGGACACCACACGGGGGGGCAGGTCCCAGCTGGTTCCCCAGGGAAGGGGGCGGGAGCCGGGGACACGGAGGTGTGGCTGCCTGCGTGGGAGGGGAACTCAGCCAGTCACAGGTGCCATCCCCCCTGCCCCGTGAGCCGCCTCTGCCTCCCGCCTCCAGGGGCAGGTGGTGTCGGCCCAGGCGCTCAGGTGAGATTCCAGGGGACAATCACACAGGGTCCAGTTGTGCCCGGCCAGCGTGGCTCAGGGGCTGAGCATCGACCTGTGAACCAGGGGTCACTGTTCCATTCCCCTCAGGACACAGGCCCGGGTTGTGGGCTGGATCCCCAGCGAGGGGCGTGCAGGAGGCGGCTGATCCACAATCCTCTCTCATCACAGATGCTTCTATCTCTCCCTCTCCCTTCCTCTCTGACATCAATAAAATATATATATATTTTTTTAAAAAACACACAAAAATAACAAAAAACACAGTCCAGTTGCTAGGAGCCAGTGTGGAGAATCAGCGTCACATCCTTGGGGGAGGAATGGGCCCAACAGAACCTCCTGTTCACAGATGAGTGATAAGTGGGAACATCCAGCCGGGACCTATGACAGGGCCTCATCTTATCCGGAAAAGGGAAAGGGAGGGGGAGGGGGAGGGAGAGGGTGAAGAGGGGAAGGGGAGGGGAAGGGGAGGGGGAGGAGGAAGGGAGGGGGAGGGGGAGGGGGAGGGGAGGGAAGGGATGAGGAGGGGTTGGGAGGGGTTGGGGAGGGGAGGGGAGGAGGGGGAGGGGAGGAAGGGAAAGAGGAGAACAATAAACAAGGGAAAGATGGATAGAAACGCGTCCAGGGAAGAGAAGCTTTTCTTCGATAGAACAGGCACCTGGCGCATGAGAAACCGCCTCCACTAAGGAGAGTCAGCCAGCTGCAGCGTTCCCTCAGCCCGCGAGGGCCCTGGAGGCAGAGGCCGGTGCCCGACGAGGGAGGACAAGGTGACCCAGTTCCTGCGCCCGCGTGTCATCTGCATGTGCCAGCGGCAGGACGACTCCATCAAGTGCGAAACTGGAGTTTCCGCTCCTGAAACCGCCTTGGGAACCCCCGTGCAGCCCGGGAAGCCTGAGTGAGACAAGGAACTTACACCCCCCTCCTCCCTGCTCCTCTCCCTCCCTCCCTCCTCCCCCTCCCCCCTCCCCCCCCCTCCCCCTCCCCCCTCCTCTCTGATTTTCTTAAGAACACGCAGAGTTCCCTTTCTGTTTTTCTGTTCTGAGGCAGCGGAGCCCCCGGGACCTGCCCAGCCAGAACCGATAAGGTGAGCGGCTGGTGAGGCGCTGAGACCTCGGATGTCCCTGAAACACCGGAGACTGAAAGAAACTCCTTTCAGGGGACGGGACAGAGGCCGCTGACGAGAGCCAGTCCTGGAGCCGGTGGGCGGCCTGGCCCAGGGCGGGCTCGCCCTCCAGCACCCGCTCCTGCTGGAGCCGTGACTAAGCCCTCACCAGGGAGAGTGTGCGGCCGGCGGGTGTGCCCGTGGGAGTCACAGCTGACGGCCGAGACCCAGGTCGGGCAGGAAGAGGACGAGGGCAGGAGCCGGTGGCTCGCTGGGCAGGAAGGACTCTCTTTGTCTCATTTCTTTTCTGGCAGGTGTTTCAGCACCAAACATGAGTGGTGTGGCCCAGCTGGTTGAGCCTCGACCTGTGAACCAGGAGGTCAGGGTTCGATTCCCAATCAGGGCACAGGCCCAGGCTGCGGGCTCGACCCCCAGTGTGGGGCGTGTAGGAGGCGGCCGATCCATGATTCTCTCTCATTATTGATGTTTCCCTCTCTTCCTCTCCCTTCCTCTCTGAAATCAATAAAAATATGTTTTTTTAAAAAGAAGAAACAGTCTGACGCTGACCCAACTTAGGAGCCTGAGGGGCGGCGAGGACAGGGGTAGGGGTGGTGCCCGTGCCCCCGCGGCCCCCGGGGTCTTCAGAGGAGGGTGTGGGTATGGGCACTCGGAGACAAGGTCTAGGATGGTAGGACGGGTGCCTTCTAACCTGGGGGGGGGGGAACGGGGGCAAAGAAAACTAGATTATTTCAATAAAGACAGAAAACCTGATGATTTCAATAAAGACAGAAAACTCGATGATTTCAATAAAGACAGAAAACCTGATGATTTCAATAAAGACAGAAAACCTGATGATTTCAATAAAGACAGAAAACTAAATCTAAAAGCGGCAGGAAGAGCCGCAAATGGAAACACCAGCAAGACGGCAGCCAAAGTCTAGCTACACGAGGGACCTGTGAGACAAGGCAGCAGCGTTCACATCCACGTTCTCAGGCCGGCACAGAGGGACCTCGGAAACCAGCCTCCTGGGCCCCCCAGACCCGCGGGGGCAGGTCCCATGGGAAGCCCGGGGCCCCAGCCTCTCGCGGCCCACGCCTTGGGGGGCTGACTGCTGAACTCGAGAGGACAGGAACGTCTCTGCCCTCAGTTTCCACTCGTCCCGTGAAATGCGTGTCTCGTGAGTTCACGTTCTCACTCCCTCGGCGCTGTGGCTGCTTCAGCCTCGTGGGGAGCAGGAGCCGCGCCCGGACCGGCCGCGCAAAGCCGTCCACGCTGCGGGCGCCCCGGGCCCCTGCGGCCCCCGTTGCCTGGGAGCGTGGACCGGACACGGCCGACCCGGGACTGTGTCCAAAGGGATAGTCACCCAAGAGCAGGATGGGTTGTGTCCCAGGCTGGTCCCGCGTCTTTCCTGTAAGAACGGCAGCTGGAGGGCCCCACACGCCCACCCACGGGCTGGCTGAGGCGTCGGTGCGGCCGCAGGGAGGAACGGAGGGCGGTGGCCGCGCGGCAGAGGGGCCGGCCCTGGGCTCCAGCGGGAGGAGGCGTGTGCATGTGGCCAGACATGCCCGCTTCGTGGGTGGGTTCGCTCGCCCCTCTGTTCCGTGTAGACAGCCCAGGAGGAAGTCAGCGGCGCGGCTGTGGCGTGGGCAGGCGGGGGTGGCACGGGGACTCCTGTTTCCCCCTTTCCACTTCCCGGTGTTGTTTTCACTGGAGGGAACTTGTGCAGACGGGCGGGGGTGGCCGTGAAGAGGTGGCTTTCCTGACGGGACGTTATCTTTGTGAGTTTTTAAATGGCTGCTGTGCTTTGTCATAAGAGAGGGGTTGCCCGGCCCGCGGGCTTGGCGGGTCTGCTTGGGCGCCGGGATCTCGGGGTGTGTGAGGTGTGGGGACCCAGCCCACGCGTCTGGCACCGGGAAACCAGCGTGGGGACCTGTCCCGCCCTGACTCACCTGCTTGGCCGCCGCCCGCATCCCGGTTCCTGGGGTGAGGCCACCCCTTCCTGCTGCCTCCCAAGCCCTTGAGTCAGAGTTTCTGTCCCGTGTCCGTCGCTGAGGGAACCGCCACGCCCGGGCTGGCTCGGCCCAGGTCCCCCCGCCCCCAGGACCGTACAATCAGGGGCCAGGGCCGGGCACAGGGACAGGCACTGACCTTCCCCTGACCTCCCCGGGAGGGAAGCCCTCGGGGCTCCCACGGCCGGGCTCAGTCACCCACGGCCGGAAAGCTGGTGGACGTCTGGGCGACCCCATGTTCTGACGCTGAGTGTTGCTAAGGACCTGGAGCCCCGCTGCTCAGGCTGTCAGCACTGAGTCTGCTCTGGCCCCGGGGACGGCGAGGTTAGGGCGCTGAGTGAGGGCGTGTGCACAGCAACACAAGCACGCCTCACCCAGCCGCGTCAGTACCCCCACACCGGGGACAAGAGGAGGAACGAAGGTGAGAGCCACAAGCCCTCCAGCAGGTGACGGGCGGCACCTGGAGCGGCTCACGGGGCAGAGAACTCAACCCTCACGCCTCCCTGCCAGCCCGTGCGCTTCCTCTGTAAAGACAAGGGTGTACGTTTAAACTATAGTCTTGTCTTCGATTCAAAAGGAGGATTTAATGAAAAGCAAGAAGACTCATGTCAAGTCCAGGAGAACTTGCACAGTGTCCGCCTCCCTGGAGAGATGTATGGACAATGCCCAGCGGAGAGAAAAAGCAACGATTAGCTCAAGAATGTGAGTCGCCTCGCGGGAACGCTGGCCACGGTGGCTGAGACCAGTTAAAACCAAAGACAATGCTTCCCAGCCCACCAGGCTCCAAAAAAAATACAAAATTAAAACGTGACCCCAACACCAGCAAGGAGCAGAAACCCCAGGCCAAACGCACAAAAGCCAGGCAGGGGAGGGTGGGGGTGGGGGGCAGGGAGGAGAATGGAGGGCCTTCCATGGTTTTCTGCTACATGGACACACACTCATATGCACATACACACATACACACACTCATATGCAAACATACACACACACACAGAATACACACTCATACAGACACACATGCATACGCACTCACATACGCACATACACACATGCATATGCAAACATACATACACAGAATACACACACACAACACGCACGCCCACATGCACAGACACACACATATGCACGCACAATACAGACATACACATGCACAGACACATATGCATGCATACACACGCAATCACACACAACTCACTTTGTATGCTATCTCAAAAATGTAAGTTAATTACTTTGAAGAATTTAAATATATTCAATAGTATAATTTAAAGTAGAATATGTGATTTTCCAAAACAATGAAAGCAAGTTAGGGAATATGTTTCATTCATGATGCATAATTCTCCAACTTTATTATTTTCCCCATAATTTTACACATTTTTTAAACCACATACAGCATCATTACCTTATATTTTTCCTTAAATAGACTCATTTTTTAACTTAAAGACATAGTATAGTCTCTTTCTTAAACAAAACTAACCCCCAACTCATGCAGTATTTTCCTTTCCAGTAAACATTAAAATAAATAACTGCTAAAATACTGTAAAGGTAGCCCAGCTGGTGTGGCTCAGTGGTTGAGCATCGACCTGTGAACCAGGAGGTCAGGGTTTGATTTCCGATCAGAACACACACCTGGGTTTCAGGTTCGGTCCCCATTGGGGGATATGCAGGAGGCAGCTGATCCATGATTCTCTCTCATCATTGATGTTTCTATCTCCCTCTCCCTTCCTCTCTGAAATCAATAAAAATATATTTTTAAAAAATACTGTAAAGGGATTCATACATGTACCACCTGAAATTACTTCCTAAAATACCAATAGCATATCCCACATTTGGAAACATTTATCCAGCATTTAATAATATCTGATAAGGTTAATTTTTCTTTTTGCTCATCATGGATTGAAAGGAGCCACACTTTGCTGAAACTGTTCTGGGGCCTCCGTGGGCTGGACACACGCTGAGTAAGGACCTTCTGTCCACTCCTGATCCAGCCTTTCCCGCCCGCAGGTGACCCGGGGGAGGCCTGGGGAGGGAGGGGGCGTTGTCATAGAGACGGGCAGGCCCAGTGCCGGCCAGGGGCGGTCACAGTGCAGAGGGACTCTCTGTGCCCAGCAAACCCGCTCCACCAGCCGTTCAGGTTCCCCACGTGACCCCGGGCCTCTGGGTGGCCGTCCTGCCGCCCTGTCCTCTCACTCTGAAAGCTGGTCACAGCCCGCAGTTCCTCGTTCCCGGGCCCTCCCACCTCTGCAGGCTCCGTGCCAGGGACGCCGTACAAAGGGCCGCCAGCCTTGGTGAATCAGCCGTCAGTCACCGGAGGAATGCGCTCCCGTCCACACCCCCGCGCCGCCTCCCACGCCCGCCCGGCCACGCGGCAGGAACAGTGCTTTCCGGCGCTGAGACCCGAGTGAGTCTTGTTTGCTGGGCGCGGCCGTTCTCCTCGGCGCTGGTCACTTTCGAAAGAGGGGAAAGGCAGGGCCATCGAGGCGGCCGCGTCCTGGGGGCCACACGCCCTCACCCCGGAGTTGTTTCCTTCAAGCTCCTGGCCAGGAGCCCCTGAGCCGCCTCTCCCCTCTGCCTTCCCCGGGGAACAGGTGGGCACCACCCTCCCCAAGGTGCCTGCACGGGGGGTGCTCAGAACCGGTGGCCAAGGGGTGGGCACAGCACACACTCCTCCGAGTCCTATGGCACCCTGGCCATGCAGGCACCGTGCCTGGCACCGGGCACACGGGGCGAATGGCAGTCCAGCTGGGAAAACAGCCAGGACATCCAGGTGCACAGGCTCCCGTGTGGGCACGTACCACCCCCACGGCTCCTCACAGTGGAGCCTCCAGGCTGGGCTCAGAGGACGGGGAAGGGGTGGGGAGAGGAAGAGGGAACAGGAGGGGAGAAGCTCTGTACCCCACACGGTCGGAGCTCATCCTAGGTACCCAAGGGGCCTCCCTCTCCCGGTGCGTCACCAAACCCCTTCAAGTTGGAAGTAGACACGTGCCTTCTGCAAACGGAATTTCCCAGCATCCAGCCGCGAGACGTACAGGCGATGGGTTACGGAGCTGCACACCCGCAGCCTGTATAATTGTATTAACCAATGTCACCCCAATTCATTCAGTAAAAATTAAAAATCTAAAACAGCAGCCAGGCGGTTCTGTCCCATATGGAGAGTTAATGGACCCAGCGCCTCCTGTTGAAAAGACCATGCCTTCCCTCTTTTACTGAAAATACGGAGATTGTGCCTGTGGCGGGGCAGGCCCCGGACTCCCGGGCCCGTTCTGTTGGGCTTTGTGCCGACACTGTCCTGTTTCAGTTCCACGGCTCTGTAACGTGTCTCGAAACCTGGTAGTCTGGGGCCCCTAAGTTTGTTATATTTTTAAAGCCTGGCCTAGCGATTCTCGGCTTTTCTCATTTCAATAAACAATTTTTGAACCAGCTTAGGAATTTCCAAAGGGAAAAAAAATAATGGAATGTAGCTGGAACGTGGGTGTGATGGCCACGGCGGCAGCCGTTCTGCAACCGCAAGGAGGCTGGAAACAGAAAGACAGAAAGGCCTGATTCCTGTGGTGGGGGGGGAGGCGGCTCACAGACCAACTCTAGCAGCGTGTGGTTTGGCGCCGACCCTAGAACATGATTTTATTATTATTATTGATATTAATTTCCAGGCTAACTTTCTGCCAATTCTTTCTCCGCCTTCCCCAGGGTCGTGGCACTGGCTGTCACGGCCGGGAGC